CGCGGGCCGGTGCCCCGGCGCGGGCCCGCCGCGCTCCCGCGGCCGCCGGCGCCTCCTGCCGGGCAGCGGCTGCCCCCGCACAGAGGGGCTTCGGCCCGCCCAGCCCCCGTGTCCCGCCGGCACCGCTCTCCAGAGAGGCATGAAGGGGCATTCGGCATGAATAGCGGCATTCGGCATGAAAAACCTCCGCCTTTCTCCCAGCGCCCAGCCGTGCCACCGGTACATCTAGGGGGACACGGAGCGAAGCCACCAACTCACGGCATCTGTGCCACTGCTGAGTCCGAGTGAGGACATGACACGGTAGAAGTTGTTGCCATTTAGCACAACGACGGATAACCCAGTCTCGCCCGGCAGTGAATTTGGGTGATGCTGTTGAGGACAATGAAATGCTGAGATGGAAATGCATTGTGCTATTACAGGGCAATCACCAGTTGTGGAAGTACAGATTCACTTCCCACTAAAACGTTTCTGTCAGGAGCTGGTTAAGGAGTTCAACAAAAAAATATTCTTCCTTGGGGGAAGGAGCCCAAAAATCCCAAACCCCTACAATTTCCTCAAATTCCAATCTCTATAATTACAATATTCTGAAGATTTGTTAGCATGTGTTAGGGACGTGCATTGGCTGTTAACATCTTTCTGGTTGCCTAATGAAATAGAAATGCAAATTTTGGTTTTAAATTTTATAACAATATTTCTAAAATACTGGACACATGGAGGGCTTAGCAGATTAGTATTTATTTTAAACAGCAAGCAAAATAACCAAGAAATCCACATGCAATCTTCTCCCCCAAGAGAAAAAGCCTTGTGCTTGACACTTCACCTCTTTAAAAGTGATGGATAAAATCACAGGTGCCTGTATATAAACACACTGTACCCTTCACTGAAGCAACAGTTCCTAAAGTTGTTACATCAACAAAACAACCTGTAACCTCTCCCATGGATGATCTTACACCCTGGTTTCACACTCAAGGAATTAAACATTTTTTTCTCTTCAAAACAGTAGCAGCCAAGACATGGATGAGCAGTTCCAGCAACCGCAAGTAAATGGATCACACTACGGCTGCATTTGCTCTAAAGTGTTGCCAATTTTTTAGTTTTTTTCCACAAGAATTCAGGCAGGCTTAAAGACATTTAGGAGAGAAAAAACAATCTAAGTGTCTGAGGGGACCCAGCTGTGCTTCGGATGGGTCACTTTGCAGCTCCACCATTAGCTTGCACATAACCTGGTGCACCTCAGTTCCCAGCTTCTTTCTGTACATCCTCTAACAATTCCACATTCCAAGGGGGTGCAAGAAGTTTAGAAAAAGCAGTGTATCTTACCCTTCTTAGTTCTCACAAGCAATTTAGTTTAAACTATATTTTTGCACATATTAAGGGAAGTAACTCAAATTTTGCATTTGTGTTGAGGCTATTCAGTAGCAGCAGTGGTGATAAACTAAACCCAAGAGACTACAATCAAGGGGCTGCTGTCACTGAGCCCTTCTAAGCTTTCATAGAAACGTTTTGCGTTCTGTTGCAAGACAAACTGCTGCTCTGATCTGATCTACACCAAATTCTGTCATATTTTGCAGAAGCAAGATAGACAGAAGCACAATCGGTAGACCTAAAAAGTTCTTGTTTCAAACATAGACATGAGGATCCACCAAAGCTAAATTTACAGAACATCTACTGTCAAAGTAATTTAAAGACTCAAGGTATCAAGCTGTAGTATGGAATAGCTGTTGCATCTATACATTATGAACTTGTCATCTTTCAAGAGAGATATTATACATTACACATAAAGTGAGTGTATGAATGAACCAGCTTGGCTGAGTCAGATGAGCCATCCTGAGACAACAAATGCACCTTTGTTTCCTGAAATACTATCCACAAATCCAGCTTCTGGTTAAAAGCAAATGGTTTAAAATGCTGTGAAATTCTCAGACTTTAAAAGTCTTGCAAGAAAATTAACTGTAGTTAGAGAGAAAATATACTAGATAATAGTTTACTAAACAAGAACATCAGTAACTTTCACAGCCTCCTAATAGTCGACTAGATTGAAAACAGAAGTCAGTTTTCTGTGAATATACAAGCACTTCATAAGCAGTCCTCATGCTGCCTTGCACAGGACCCTTGATACACAACCCTCCTTTGCCACACCATGTACTGTTGCTAACATTTCAGTTATATTTTATTGATATTTGGTCTTTTATATTGGTATTTGATCTTTTATATTGATACATGAGCATGAGAAAGATTAGAGACCTGAGAAAGCAATGTTTAAATGACTGAGATGAGAGAGGAAACAGTGCAAATATCCCCTTCCTATTCTGCCTTCTTTTTTCCTTTAAATTCTGTCACTGTTGATTAGGTAGAGATCAGAAAACTGTAGTAGTGTAGGAGGAACGAAATGACAGTGAAAATGGTGGGCTTGTCACAACTGTGCAGCATTTATTAACAGAAGGAAGTTATTAGTTCTTTCTCACTTTTAACTTGGAAAAAATAATCCAAATGTCTGTTTTTTCTGAAGTAGGAAATTGTGAGTTGGACAATGCAGCTGGAGAAGGGAAAGGAAAAAGCTGAAAAGAGTCTCTTCCTGTAGCAGTGAGCTCTCAGATGGCTCAGTCAGTCCTGTCCTGAAACTTCACTCATTGGCAAGTTAAAATTGATGGCAAAACCATGGCCTTAAGAGAGTGATGCATAGCTCTTGCTTCAGTCTCATCCTCCCTACAAGTGCCATAGCTCCATTCAGACCATGCCACCCTGAGCAGCAGATTGCTTTGCAGCACTCAGATTTCTGCACACTGAGGCTACAGTCTCCTAATGTCTGATACCAGACATGCTCACACTACACATCAGATACAGATCAGATGTCCAGCTTTCATCAAAGTCAGAACTCATGCAACTGTTCAGGCAGCAGGAGGAAAAGGTAGAATAATAGAAACAGACCTACACTATAAAGCCTTTGTACAGGACTCCTTTTGTTGTGACCACTGTGTACCATGTGGCAATGACATTCTTCCTCCAGTACTAAGCAGCCCCAAACTATATTTATCATCCTCTATAACCACAGTGTTGGCTGTAGGTAAGACTCCAATACTATGCCCTTAATTGAGAAAGACTTTCAAAACCCTCATTCAATGCACTTGCTTGGCCTGTCTCCAGAACTTCTCCCCACCTTCACAGTGCTGTACTGCCCAGTGGCCTCACCACTATATTATTTTTAATGCCACAGGAGGAAAGGTGGCTCATGAACCAGGACAGCCTGACACAGCCTTCACCAGCCTGGTCTTTCTTCCTGGTCTTGCACTGCCTCCTACTGACACTGCTTTTTGTACAGGAAGGCTGTAAGACAATCCAGCTGAACAAATGAGGAAAAGATTTTCAGTGTATCTTAGTTAACTGGTCCCCTAACCGATTTGACTACACAGTGTAGAGGTGGCCCAGGGCAGGAATGAGTTACCAGAAAAGCCCAGGAACTGAACCATCAGTGCTGCCAGTTATTTTAGGCATCTGAAATAATTCACTTTAAAAATCAATTCCTACACACGAGGTCAAAAAGGGCAGAAATCTTGTCATCTTCCTAAGATGACATCTTTCTTGTCATCTTCCTAAGAAACTGCCAACAATCTGCAGGACATGTAGCAATTTGCTAATGCAATTTTTATACTGCATGAATACATGCACATCTTATGCACATAAACATTTCAATAAAATGACAGAATCCTTTCATGCTTTTTTCTGCATGTAGTTCAAAAGTACCTGCATTACTTCCTCTGCCTTCTGTATGTAGGTCCAGGAAGTACAGTTACCACAGCACTTTGCAGAGGTAGGTGGCAGAAAGTTGCAACTAAGCAGTTTCATAACAACACAATTACAGAATTAAAAAAAACCCAACCACCACAACTTTGACAGTGTCATTTAAGTTACACACTTTCAGACTTCCATCAGTTTGTTTAATCAACTATAACATTTTCTCCCTAAATTCCAACCTAAATAACATTTTTTAAGTAAAGACAAATGAATTATGATATTATTAGAATGCTGTTTAGAAGCAGATCAGTTACTTCTTTGAAAATCCCTCTGTGGAGTTTTAAAATATGTATTTCAGTCAAAACCAATTATGTTTAAATTCATTTCTACTGGAAGGAAACATGGCTTTTTCCATCAACTCAAACAGAAACATGTTTTAGATTCAGCAGTATGAATCAAATACTCAAAGGCAGCTAAGTAATTTGGTATTTCCATTCAAAAAATAGAGTTGGTCAAAACAAATTCCAAAAACAAAATTACAGTCTCCACATACAGTATATACTCAAATCCCAGAAAGCAGAATTTCCCTGCTATATCCATGACTTAGGCTCTGGTTACATCCGTGCTGCATGTTTAGCCAGGTTCCTGCTGTCTGTCTACAAGCAAGCTTTTAGCTTGGATTACAAATCCCACCCAAACAAAATATTATCAAATATCAAAAATATTTCCTGGCCCATAGAGAGCTCTGCCTCACCCGAGTGAGGTATGACATTATACACAGTACACTGGTACTACACCAAGAGCTCTGTTCCAGTAAAGACCAGGTTTACTCCTTTCTTATCCTCCATTTCACCTCAAAAATCAAACAGGATGTCTTAAAATATCTGCAGTTTAAGTGAACATGTTTCACTTTATCCCGGACACCATGAAGGAAATACCTCACACAGCCAGTATTGTTACAGGAAGGAAGCAACTTCTAAATAAAACATCAGTGCAGCATCTGCTGTCTTTCACTTAAGAATCAAATTCTTAATCTGGTCACAAAAGCAGCTGACTAATAAAGCTACACAACAAAGCTCTGGGTTAGGTCATAAAAGCACAAATAAGCAAGACTATTCAGTTATGAAGGTAATTTTCTCTTATAGAGGAAGCAGCAGTGAAACAGCTCTGGAGAGAGGACAGCGTAAGGGCAGTGCAGCGGTGGCAGGCTCGATGAAGATGAGGCAGATGATGGCTGTGCACCTAAATAAACTGACTGAAGCTGTACATCTAAACAGGGGGACTTTGCCAGTTTAATCATCTCCACTCAGGAAAAGCAGCCTGCTTTCCCAAGGGAGCTGCTTTAAAGTCATCTGATTTACAAACATGTCAAAAATAGCACTCTGCTTACTTTACAGAAGAAAACAATTGTTTTTTCACACTTAAGCCCAAGAAGCTCCCCTCCTCAATTCCCCAAAGCATGTATTAAGCAAAATAAAGCCTACATTGTTACAACAATAAATAAATACAATCTGACTGTTCATTCCATTCCATTCCTGGTTAAACACATTGATAAACAGTTTCCTACACATGAATCACTTTTAAAGTAGTCCTAAACTACATGCTAACATCCAAATAAGTTTGATACCAAAATCTAGATCCATTTATCTAGTAGGACCAAAAAAAATTGATAGCAGCAGCTGTTTTTATCAACTAGCAGGGCTTTTATCAACTTAATGGAAATATTTTTAAAATATAAAGTTATCAACAGCATATAATTTGGTAATATGTGACCTATATATCTTACCAAGTCATTAACTGTCAATTTATGTGAAAATAGAAGACACACTGGTTTTTCCTTTAATGTTGTTGTAATTTTTTATGTACCTTTCCCTAACAATAGTAATAAACCCACAGTATTTTTCCAGAAAAACTTCATTTTCTATCACACTGAGCTCATCTTACCAGAGTTTACCATACTACAACCTAGTGTAATTAAAACAACAGATCTTCTTTCCTGTGCCCAAGTTATCATAATGGATACAAACCACAATTTGTGGGTAATCACAGAACGTGGATCTCATCTCATGAAGCTGGACAAAGGTTATGCCCTGTACCCATGCCTGGTACTTGAAAAGGCAACATACTGCAGTGTTGCTACTGTAATTATTTCCATCCTTGAAATGAGAGACATTTAAAAAACACAAGCTTTCAGGGCAACTAAGCCTTGCATCTGTCATCGCATGTTATTGCCAAGTAATATGCACCCAAACGTAGCTAATCCCACAAATGGCATCTGTTACACAATCACGCAGTATTTTATCCTACGCGCACATTGTAAAGCAGGATAGGTAAGTACCATTTAAAGGGAATAAAAGGCTACTGAAAATACATATGGAAAGGAAAATTCTCATTTACTTTACTAAAACTTGGAAAAGATCTTAAATAAAACTGTTTTATTTCCATTTGGTGCATTTGTGTTCTCTCATTTTAATAATAAAATAATCGGTTGTACTTGCACTTATTTAGTTCCTACAGTATTTCTGTTGCAGACAGCAATGAAATATTTTGTTGTTCTCTTTGTGAACTTACGTCAGACTGACACTTTCTCATTTTACTTGCAGAATTTTCATGAGGCTCTGGTGTTGTTTCAGCATAAAAATTTTGGAGTTACATATGAAAATATATTTTTGTTAATTATCAGATGTTAAAAGCAACACAAGTCAGTGCAACAGATTTTACAGGAAAATTTAAAGGATACTGTGTGTTTACAGAAACCTTTGGCTATTTTTACTAAAAGACAAGTCACACTGACAAGCAAATGGTCAACAGTACAAAACCATTTGGTTTAATTACTTTTCGGATTTCCTTTACTGTTTTTGGTGCTCACAGTATAAAGGATGAAGATGCTCACCCCCCCAGGAAAACAGATAACCACACACAATTAGTTATTCAAAGGCCCTCAGCTTGCTTTTTAAGTTTGGCAGACACCAAGCTGCAATTTCTTTCATCATTTGCCGGCCAAACAGTCTCTTAAAAAATTCATTCGACACAATAAATTATATGCAGTGACCAAGCACAAAATCTCACGAATTTATGTGGAAAATTTATTTTGTTAAATAAAATATTCATGATCTTTACAAAACTGATTTTACCAGACAAGGCCTTTGGCCACTTTTGATTTCTTTTTCCCTTTAACACGCTGGGCCTTAAGCTTCTTTCTTTGCCTGGAATTCATCCATATTGGGTACTGTCCATGCTGGTCTAGAAGAGTTTTTTTGTTTCGTTTATTATCCAGCTCCATTTTGCAGTCATCTGAAAAATTAAAGGTATTTTTAGTGAGTAAAATATCTGAATCAGCTTCACAGAAGCTATTTTGTTACTAGATTCCCCCAAATGATAAAAATATCCCTAGACACAACAGTATTTCTACACAGAGAACTGAAGGATTTATAAACTGAAAGCACTTTCCAAATCAATGTAACTGCAACCCAGGAATTTCAAGAGTTGACAGTAAATGTGCAATATTTTTCCTAAAGGTCATCTATGGGCAAAGCATCTTATTCTTTCATCAGCAATCTGTTCTAATCCTGTGTCTAAGAACACTGTAATTCCATCATGGAAGCATGCATGAAGCCAGAGGCTTACTGAAAGATATGCACAATTACACACTTTTTAAGATGTAACATTTAAGATCTGCTCTAAGAAATTATTCTGAGTGGAAAATGAATACAAGTAAAAAGAATAGTAAGGAGAAAAGGTGAAATACAATGACAGCAGTAATTATCAGCCAGTGATGCCACACTTGCCTCAAGGTGTGAGCATGACATCACATCTAACACACTGACAGGCAGAAGGAGAGGATTAATCCCTACAATGAGGAAGAGTGCCCATGACATGGTCACTCCCAAGAGATGAGGAAGACTGCCAATGACATGGTCACTCCCAAGAGATGAGGAAGACTGCCCATGACATGGTCACTCCCAAGAACGGTGTCCCCAGCTGCCCAACATCCCATGAACGTCATGTCCCAGGGAGATAAGGAAGTGCAAGAGGAGCACCTTGCTAAGTACTGACTGCAACTGTGCTCTGTAATTTCATCCCAACCTTGTTCCTAAACCATATGTGTGCAACTCAAGCCTTTACCACAAGTTTTATGGAGAGGAAAAAAGACTTTTACTGCTTGTCTAATGTTGGGAGACAAAGCTCAGGAGGAAAAGGCCAACATGCTGCTTCAACAGCTGAGGTTGAGAGGCTACAGGAACCTGCATCGGAGATATGCTTATGGAGCCCTAAACTGGGGGGCCTGCAAATACTTGGAATCAGCAGAGAATGAGCACAGGTGCTGGTGGCAGAACCAAAAGCCTATCCAGCACAGCAGACCTTATATTATTTTTTCTTAAGAAGAAAAAAGGAAGAAAAAAAATCACAGTGTGCTGTAAACAATACCTTAAAGTAATAGGGTAAGATGTCTGTAATATTTCCCTAGATACTTTCTTCGGCTGGAAAATTATTTATCTGTCTGCAGTAAGTACATATTATGGGTGAAGTTTTTATCTACTTCAGTTCTCATAACACTTGGCAATGCGAGCACCTACACTTAGTCCTGAAAAGTCCTCTCAAAGAAAACACCATTATTTTCACAAAACTTGTAGCTGTTTTGTAAAATACATATTTTTTTAGGTATTTCTGAGGCTGCTATCTCTCTGAAAAAGCCAGCTGAAACTGGCCACTGTAGAGAAGTTGCCAGCAGAGTTGGAAGGAGGTGCAAAAATGACAGATAGCCATGTATTTATTTCAGAAACCAGGTTTAAAGGAATGATTTCTCCTTCAGCATCAGAAGTCTGACAGTGTTCCAAAACACTTTGGAAATTCAATTCTAATTAACCTTTAAAGAATAACTTTTACACCTGGTTTCTAGGACAAATCTGAACCATGGACAAAATTACAGATTATACTTGAAGCTAACCTTAATTGGACAAGTATATATACCATTTTATTTCCATTTCCAGTATCAGAACATCTTAAGTGCCACAAATTGGAGAATCAAAATAAGACTATGATTTAGTTTGGACATCAATTTTGGAAAGAGAAGGTGTCGTTCTGCCTCCCAGCCAGTATGTAGCCATTGAAAACATCTGTTTTCCCTTCCTGGGTTACTTCTTTACATTTTACATACAATTCCAGACACAAGGAGGAAGATGGCATTATTTATAGACATCTAATACCATCCACTCCTGCACCATGCAGCAATGCAACACTAGTTAGTATTCAGAAACTGGGCCCGTATTATTCCTACCCCAACTACTTTATGTTTAGCAGCCTCCTCAAATTAGGACAGTTCGGCAGCAAACATAATGCTGTGATTGGAACAACTGCTAACTGGTGAATTCACATTCACCTGAGGGTCTCAGAGATGTTTCTCCATACAAAACATTGCATACTTTACGTACTAAAACCAAATGTTAATAACCTTGTTCCGCAAGTGACCGGATGCAGTATTGACAGTATGGATGCCGGTGTTGCGAGAGGAACAGAGTCAGTGTTTTAGCTTTAAAACACAGGCTTGCCGAGTGCCTGTTCTCCTGTAACAAGCATTCACGGCTGATGGCGGCGGTGAGAGCCAGAGGGCAGTAACAGCACCGGGGCCCTGCCGCACCGGGGAGGGAACAACTGCACTCACCTTTCGCCTCCAGGACCTTCTCGGGGGGCACCACGGTCGCCACCTCCTTGACCTCCTCCATGATGACATCCGCTTTGGTTCCCAGGATCTTCTTCAGCCTCTCCAGCTCCTTGGGCGCGTTCTTCTTCCTCTTCTCCGCCCGCATCTTCCTCCTCCATTTGCTCCTCAGGCTCTTCGCCATGTCCTGCAGGGAGGGAAGCGGCAGCGCTCGGGGGGGGGACGCGCGCACTCGGGGGGGGGGGGCGCCACCCGCTCACCTGCCGCACGCGAGGCCGCCACACACACTCCCGCCAGGCCACGCGGCTCGCCCGCGCATGCGCACACAGAGGCGCCCGGCGGCCCGCGGGGGCAGATGGGCTCTACCGTAAGTGTCGGAGCGAGCGCGCAGCCGCATTCCCGCTTGCGCCCCTGAGGGGCTGCGCCGGACGGCGCTGCGCGGCCGGGGCGAGCGGAAGGCGTGGAAGGATAAACGTGTGCTCCATCACAACGTAAAAAGCAGGGATTTGTTCTTAGCTCCTGCCCCGCGGTTCTGAATGAAATCCTAAGGCTATCACACTCACTCAACCCATCCACAGTGGTAGCTGGAAGGCCTCACGGAAAGCGCACTCGGTGGCAGCGTGGGGCGGGCAGGACGCGCACCTTCCCCAAGTACGGCATTCCTCGTCTCGCACCCCTCTCTGACAGGACTGAGAGCAGTAACAATCCCTCACCGAATAGGAAGGAAGCCTTTCAAAACCGTTTTTATGCTGCCTGCCCCTCCAGCATCCCACAGCGTGGGAAGCAGCCACAGTCCCAGCACGTCCACCCTGCCAGCACCGAGCCGTCTGCAGCGCTCATTCTCAGCATCCCGAAGTTCTCCAAGAACAGACTAAAGGCTTTCCAATTTTTATTGACACACAGTGAGTTTTATTATACATAAGTTGATAAAATGCCATAATCAATCTCCAAATGATTTTTCAGAACACTGATAGGCAATAAATAGTACTAAAATAAAGAATATTCCCTTTAATTGTTTTAACACCCTCACAGCTTCCATAGTGACAGCCCTTAACTAGGACAGAATACCTCTGTCAGAGACAGCATTTCAATTTACCAAACAAAAAAAAATTATCTTAGTGAAACATTGCACAATGATAAACTCATGCTACCCTTATGTGGTACATAAACGAATGATCAATCCCAAAGGAAACATTTTCAGCAGCAACAGAACAGCAGGGAAGCTTATTCTGAAGTAAACAGGAGTTGGCAAAATTTCAATCATTAATTGCACTGCAAATTAAGTGATTAAAAAAGTGACTGTAATGAAGACAGCATGTTAACTACATAATATACATGGTCTGGAGAAGAACTGTAGCTATGTAAAAAGGCATTTTTCCCCCTAAGGAGAGACCAATATGCATGGAATGCAAACATAATAAAGATTCGGTCTTTAGAAGGCAGAACTACAGAGTCTGCAGATCATCCATAAACTTAACTTTAATTGTGCTGTAGTCAAACCACTCTGCTTTTGACTATTTTTTATTAAATGCCTCCAGAAAACGCAGCAGGTGCAGGAACAGATTTATGATGTCCAAGTAGAGATTGATTGCAGCCAGTATGTACTCTTCAGGGGACAACTTGTGCATCAGCAGATGAGTGTCATAAATAATAAATCCACAGAACAGAAGAGCTCCAGCAGCAGCAAACACCAACTCTATTGTCTCACTATAGAAAAACAGCTGGAAGCAGATAAAATATGAAAAAGATACTTGTGAATTTCATTTTTTAAAATATTAAAATCCCTGCATAATGATATGCCACATTTAAAACACAGTCTTTCTACTGTTATGTACACAAAACCACAGTATTACGGTGATATATCAAGGCTCTTATTCCATATATTCTCCAGTCCCACAATCTCTGACTGAGTAAAAGTGCCTCCACTTAAGAGGGAGGAAGGTCTGGTCTCCAGAATACTAACAGCAGACTAGAAAACTAGAAAACCAAAATATAATTAAATCTCAAATGTCCTTCACATTCTCTTCATCAAGTAGTGGATCTCAATTGACAAATTTCATCAATCAACCCAAATACCCCTTTTATGTCGGCAAGAACAGCACCCAACAAAAATCTAACTTGAAAATGTGTGGCTAAATGATGACCAGCATGATGTAGAACAGTAATGGATCTGGCTAACAATTTTCTTTCATTAAGCTATAGTGGGCTGATCCAAACCTTTTAGTTACAGTAGAAGTCAGTAACAGGTCTGAGTGACCTGATTTAGTGGAAGGTGTACCTGCTCATGGCAGGGGGGTAGAATAGATGATCTTTAAGGTCCCTCCCAACCCACACCATTCTGTGATACTGTGAATATCTTTGAACTGTGAACACAAAATATCTTACCCTCAAGAAACCTGAGATGATTAAAATCCACAAACAAGCAAAGAGGCTGAAAGAAAATAAATTACACTGTGACCAACAATATATATTCTTTTAGACTTAACTTAAAATATCCTCCTTTCTAAAATCTCTTCACAATATATATGGCAAGTAAATGTCTGGAATTCTTAAGATGCCAACTGTTTACTGGTCTCAGCAGTAAAGGTTTTGTAAAGTTGTCAAAAGTTATGTTCTAACTTTAATTTTTTTAAAGATTTGAAACATCTGCCTTCTCTCTCAGTGAAAAATCCATGTAAACTAGTTTTCTAATTGTTTCAAGATTCTTTATCACTGAAAAGAATTTACCAAGGATCAGAAGTGGGTAAAATGCATAATTTTAAATAAATAACCCTCACCATTCCCTTGAAGCAGGTTCTATTGACCTGTATTCCTTACTATACCTGCAAAGCTTGGTTTAAGAAAGAAAAAAAATCCAAAACCTTAACAACAACAAATAATTTAAAAAAATCATAAATATGACAACATACCCTGCTCCAAATTTGCTGAAATCTCTCTTTGACTGCAAGGTATATGCAGTCAATCCAAGAAATACAGCAGTAGTAAGAATAAAGGCTTGCAAGACGATGGAGACATCATAGAAACTCACTATAAACAGAAAGAGTAATCTGTCAATTAAAGAACTCCACCCTATGTATTTGCTGAGTTATCTTTTGAGGAAACAGAAATTTAAACTTAACTGTGAACAAAATTTGGTAAATTATGCCTGAACTTGTCTTTGCATTTCAAATTCATGATCATAGGACTCAGGGATCGTGTACTAAGTTTGACAGTTACTTTATAGCTGTAGCTTCTTAAATGGAAACAAAAGGTCTTCCCTAGTCAGAATTATGAACACAGCAACAAAACAAAGCAAAAGGATTTTAAGCACAGATAACAGAGATCTTAAGGAAAAAAACTGTATGAATTTTTCACAATATTGCAACACGGGGAAAAATAAAACAATCCCCTAAGAATGCTCGAAGTTTTGATTAGGGGACAGGAAGGGAAAGATAGCAGAAACATGTGCAATCTTTTTCTTCCCTCCTTCCTCCTTTTTCTTTCCTTTCCCCAAATCAGGATATCATAGGCCACAATGAAGAGGTTTCATCTTATGCACTAAGGTATAGTTCAAGATGATGCCATGATGTGACTGCACACTGCCTCATTTCAACCCTGACCATGAAGCACAGAATTCTCCAAACTCAGATTCCCTTTGAGGAAATTGAGGGGGCAGGTAGGACTATTTCAACTTTTAAGATCGATCTGAACATTATGAAAGAGAACATTTTTAACTATACTGAAAGAATGGATTCCCCAATTTCTCACTTCAAGTTTATGCCGTTTCATTTCTGAATCAGAATTCAGTTTTCTCCCTTGATTTCCTGGTTTTGCTGAACTCCTATCACTGTCATTGAAATTTTCAAACAGGATTCATTATCATTTTAGTCACATCTAGAAAACCCTAATGGCAATTAGTACAATATAATGGATTCATTTTCCAAATTCTTTATGGAATCAGACAATAGGATGGCAACTATTTACCTGTAATGGCAACTGTCAGTGCTTCCAGTAGAGTCTACAAAAAGCAAACCCAAAAAAAGAGGAGGGTAAGAAAAAAATCAAACCATGAAACATTAGGTGTCCTGTTAAATCTTTCTGTATGAAAACATGTTTAATTTTCAACAAGAAAATGGCAATCACACTGTCCTCCTGCGCTGGAAGTTGTGTTACATTAAAAAAGTACAATAAAATGTGAAAATGAGTGACAGACTTTCCCTATAGAAAAATGTCACTTACATTTCCTACTGTAAGCGCACAGCATTTATATGACACTTCTGACAAACTATTCAAGGGGCTATAAAAGTAATATATTTGTAATATCTTGTTGGACAGCTGTCTAACAGTGTCTGCATCAGTTTCCTTTCCACACTTACCCTTTAAATAATCTGTTTACTTCACAGCAAAGCTGTCTTTCTGTTTTATCACAAACACAATTTAGGCAACTCTTGAAACATCAAATTTTAATTGAGCTACTGTGACTTCTTTTCAGAAGACTGATTTGCTACATAATCCAAAATATCCAAGAGCAACTCTTAGCGTGGATCTACATACAACATCAGGCAGAAGACTAAAATTTGAGGACAGCTCTGACAGATCTGCCTGTGCTGGAAACATGCTCAGAATTTAGCATCAAAAAGACAACTGGAAGAATAAATTATATGGCTGGTTTGGGTCTCTGCTGAAGGCTGTCCATTTAACAATTTAGGTAACAGGAATACCTCCTCCTTTCCTACCGAGCAGTTGCATAGAAAAAATCCCTGACATCAACAGAACAATGAGAGCAGATAGATTTCTACACACATGCAATAACCCTTGCTCAACGTGGTTCCAAGTTCTAACATTCTTTCTAAAAAGATGCTGAAAGAAACCTGAAGTGCCTGCTATGTAAGAACAACCTGTGGGCAGAATCTCCAAAAAGTAACTCAGACCTTCATAAATATATAGGATGTCTTTCAAGGAATACAAGAAAAACAAATTACATACCTCTAGTTTCAAGGAATTAATTACAATGCAAGATATTCAAGGGGCTATTACATTGAATTAATTAATCAATTAATAATTTAACTTAATTAAACACTTACAAATCCAAACAGCAGGTATAAATTAACAGGGTGCTGGTGTCTGTAGAGGGTCAGTGCCACGATTACAGCCAGAGATCCAAACCCAGATATCAAAAGCAAGGCAGGCCTGTAAAATTCCATATTAAAAAAAAAAAGTAATCAAACTTAAATATCTATAAGACTATGGAATAGTTTATATAAATTCAAATTTTTAAATGACCATCTAGGAAAAGATATCCAAAGTAAATGTAACACAAGTTTACAATAAAACTGTTTAAAGAATACTACTACAGATAATCAG